TAAATTAAATAGCTCGGATTTTTACGTTGGCAATCACACGGTGACAGGACTGGATAGTGACGTTAATTTAAGTTTTGTTTAAAAAGGGACAGCTATACAATAGAAAGAGTTAGTTGAAGTAAATCATTCATTTCATTCATTATCATTGGTTATACAGTGATTACCTAATTTTTCATGAACAAACCTTCCAGAAACCCAAGGCAGTTTAACAAGAGATTAACAGCTGATCATTTTTGAAATAGTGTTATGTGATTGCTGCTTTGATTGGCCTTTCAGAAACTGGGCATTACTGTCATAGACATATAAAATGTGAATAAGAAAAATTCAGAAGGATGTGATAAAGAAAAGAAAGCCAAAAAAGAATGAAAGCGGCTTTCTTTTCCGAACCGATGGCAGTATTTTGACTACCAATAAGTGAGTGTGATGATCCTATGTTTAAATTTGATAGGTCATTTGTCCGGACGCTTGCTTTTTAGGGCTCCATACCCAAAGGGTAAAACGGGACCCTATTACTAAGACTCCGCTGTCTATCATTCTGTCCGTCTGTCCCTCTGTCACCACGCTGTATCTCATGAACCGTGATAGTTACAGTTGAAATTTTCACAGATGATGTATTTATGGTACAACAACAAATACTAAAAACAGAATAAAAAAAAATACGTAAGTGAACACATGACTTTTTGCAGTTTTAATAGATATTAGGACAGAACCCTTTGTGCGCGATTGAACAACTCTAGTTTTAATTCTGGGGTAGACAATGAAATATTTAATTGTAATTTTAAGTGCTAATAATAATCCTTACTAATATTATAAAGGAGAAAGTTTGTATGTATGGATGGATGGATGTTTATTACTCTTTCACGCAAATTCTACTGAATGGATTTTAATGAAACTTTACAATAATATAGCTTATACATCAGAATAAGACAGGCTATAATTTATATACATATTTTTATGTATATCTGTCTTTCTGTCCGAATGTTACGCCTTCAGCCTGCCTATTCTACGCAGATGTAGTCGCGGGCAGCAGCTAGTAAAATGATACGCCCCTAAGATGTGTCAAGTCTGCCATCCATAGTGGTGTCGCGTGGTGGAGTATACCCTAATACCCTCTGTATAGAAGAGCCCTTTGCCCCGTAGTGAGACATCTAAAGGCTATTTTGACAAAGAAAGGTTTGACTTTGACGGGTGTTAAAGGTAAATTAAAGCACAAATTAACATAATCTTGATCAATGGCGAAAAAATTTAACGTTCAAATACGTTTTTACTGACATCGCTTTTTTAATGCTCAATGATATGATCAAAGTAAAAACTAAGACGCTACATTTTTACTAAGACTTTAGGCTAAATTCAAACCGGTAACGTTTGTTCAGTATTCCGTCAGCTAGGTTTCTTGTTTACCGAGCCATGGGGTATATGCATTAAAATGGAATATCTAATAACGAACACGTGCCTGCGCATATCTAATATCGGTTTATCTTGCGATGACCTTCAACGTCTATTCAAACATTTTGCATGAAGAGAACATACTCGCTTTGCTTTACCCTGACTGCGAATTGGTAAAAGTTTAATGTTCTGAATATCCAACGAATCTAGGGGTCCATGGTGAGTTTAAGATGTTTTTGGGGTTGATCGAAATTTACGCGAAAACATAATTGGAAATACTTTAATTCTAAATCGGTATAAATAAACGGTAAACCGGTTAAGATTTTACTTAAACGGACGATGAGACGATGTTCGAAACTTAAGAATAACAGATTCACTGGGTAATGTGAAATGGTTTTTAAAATAAAACTGCATTTCATTTTGCAGAAATACGCGGGGTACTGCGTAGCTGTACGCTCTAATAACCAGCGTATAATAGGAGGACCACAACAATAAGGACTAAAAACGAAAGGTGTATTTTTTATTTATACACGACTTTAAGCTGAAAATCAATGGGTTAAGTGTGAGTTAGTATGAAATTTATTTTAAAATGAATTTATAGTAATAATATCACAAAGAAAAGCCTTTACGTAGCGCCTTTCACGCCACATCTCTAAAAAGGAATTTTAATTAAAATAATCACAATTTTGTTAACCTCCCGTAAAAGCGCGCGTAGTAAATTTGCGATTTGTAGTCGTGATTTCATTTTCATCGAAGTAGTTTGCAAGGACAGGCATCTACATTTTCTATTTCTGAATTCTGACAGCGGTGTTGCAATGCGCGGGAATTTTGCTTTTAGCGCTACGATTTGTTTTGTTTTGTTGAATACGAGTGAGTTTTCACTCTAATAACACACGATTGGCGCAGCGAGTGCAAGCTGTTTAGATAATAAAGCTTGTGTATATACATGATAAGTTATTATGTAGCCTGAAAACAAGGAAGCAGACAACTGGGTCATGGCCAAAATCGATAGTGAATTCGTAGTTGTTATCAAAACAGAATAAGTACTAATATTCATGATAAAACATACGCAGGTATAAAAATGTAAGCAATACTTGTTAAACTAGTATAAGTGAAGATCAATTAATATGCTATTAGTAAATGAGGCGTTCACGAATTAAAATAATTAGGTATGTTCAAAAGATTCTGTTCGTGGTTTTCTAAGATTCGAGTATAATTCGATGACACAAACTGTTGGGATAGTAAAGACTATATTATTATCAGCTCTGTAATTCGTGTTACTTACACTAGGAGTTTAGTTGTTCCCCACCTTGTTACCTACAACGAGGAAGTTGTTTCTAGGGTATAGCGTCTATGTCAACCCATGACAAAGAAACTGGTTTTTAATGTTAAGACATAAATGTATATCTCGGGCTATTAATATAATAAAAATCGTAGCGATTTTATAATTCACTTACCAAATTCCGAACCCCAGAAGACAGACGAAGAATCAGCTCGATGTCAGTTTAAAAAATAAATTAGAAGTATTTAATGTCAATATTCTCCAATATACATAACCATGTATTAAACACAAACTTGTTAATTTTATCGTTCTTTATACATTTTCATCATAAGCATAACTAATATTCAATTTTGTTATTCACTACTATAAACAAATAATTTTATAGCATTTGAAATTTGGCGGCCTAACTTAATTAGATCTTTAAGACACTGTATCACAGAAATTTAATTTTAAACATGATCAGCTGTTCACATTTTCTTTTCTGGTGCGCCTTAAAAGATTTCCATACAATCTTCTAAACGCACTGAAACAAAGTGACAAGAGAATGTTTACATCAATACATTGCACAGTCGCAGCAATACCAGTTTTCACGCACACAGCAATCCCACCATTCGTGTAGTAGAGCAAAATATTGACTGGTAGTGGGGATGAAGGAGGTCAATGACGTTACCAGATGATTGGTAATGTTAGAAAGAGAGAATAGATAAATTAGTAGCGTAAAAAAGAGAGAGGAAAACAACAAACCTCTACACATATACTCAAATGTGTTTGTAGACTAAATAGAAGAGGTTTGTTCTCTTTTACACGAACATAAAGTGTACTGTAAAACTTAAAACCTCTCTTTATAACCAATTTGGAAAAAACATTAGAGATATTTGAAACAATTCATACCTTAATTTATTTCAAAGGATTTTTTAAATTTTTTTGATTTTAGTCCGACATGGTTACAGTTTGATAGATATTAATTTTAATTTTTTATTAAAAACATTAAGCCAGTTTTATTTCTCTTCCTGCAGATAGGTTTTATTGCAGTCCTTACACATTTTTGTATAATATTATATTTTAATAATAACGGAAAACATTATTAATTACTGAGTACATGTCAAGGAAAGTAGTAAAAAATAGATTCCGTAAATTTTTACTCAAAGGAATTAATAAAATAATGGATCAATATTAAGAATTATTTCTAAACATTTTTTGTTCTACTTTGTAATCGTTTCGACTCAACATACCGTAATAATTGTAATTAATTGTGATCAAATGTGTGAATAATTGTGATCAAATTATTATTATGCACCAGAAAACTTTATTTTAAATATAGGATTACATTAACATTTTAAACATGATTAGTGCAATAGGATTCCAATGGCTGTATTTATTTCACAGAGAACATATTTACCTATTCATTTATTGCTTATCTTAAATCTGTCATATTAGTGACAGTAAAACAATGTGAAATGTCAGTCACTCAAATTAATTTCAAATATTAAAGTTTTAAGCTATATTTATTGTACATATTTTCTTATTTAATTAATTTAAATGAATTAAGCAGAAAGAAAACTGGAAAATTAGTATTAAATGTTGAGTCTGTGCTCTGTGAGAAATATTTAAAATATGTATGTACAGATATCGATAAGATTTAATATATACCTCAGATTACTTTCTACGTTATCTTTTATATTTATTCATTGATTGATTTCACAAAATTTTAGTAGAAGCAACTTCATACTACATCAACAGTCCATAAAAATTTTTCGTGTTATTAAACAACATTTTGATGTAAGTGAAGTCCTTTTACTGCTAATATCCCGAAATATACATTTTTACATTTTATATGCGATAAAATCTTTGATACATTTTACAATACAAAAATTGTAAACATGACAATAATATTATATTTGTGTTATTTGTAGATTGTTCTTAGCTCCGTGTAAGTGTTACAAACATATTAGACAAACAATGGATCATTTCTAGGTAGTTTGTTATAACTTTAGCAAACACTAACCAACTTTTTTTTATTTTTTTTTTAATTTGAGAAAGTGGCAAACGAGCATGCGGTTCCCCTGATGTTAAGTGATAGCCGCCTGCCCATGACATTTGCAACAACCATAGGGTTGTAGATGCGTTGCCACCTCTTAATGATGTGAGTCCTGGCTACCTCACTCACCAGATGAAACGCAGAAGTGCAACACCTCTTTGCCACACTTGCCCATTCGTGCAACAGTGAACAGTGTTGCGTGGTCCTAGCACCATTTTTATACTTCTGTACAAAATTTATCTTTTACATGCTGTTGTAACATATTAAAATAATTGTAATTACATAAATTGCAGAATGCTTCATAATTATTCAATTTCTGGATTCAATCTTCTCAAAATATTGTGTACTGCTCCTAAAGTATGGACAAGCGTGAGATGTATAAGTTATGATGAAAATAAAAGACAAAACTTTTTCTTCAGACAGGTAAATATTTAAAAATCCCAAAATAGTAAAATATTTCTACAATTTTATATGGATATTAAAATATTATTTAATCTTATGGTGTAGGGTGGATGAACTAACGGTTTTTACTTCATCAATGAAACCATGTACTAGAATTTCATGAACAAAATTATACACAACTGTTTATGTTAATATAGTTAGATTAGTTAAACACTGTTTTAGAAACCCTATAGAAACAAAACCCTATTGCAAAAAATAGGGTTTTGTGAATTTCTTCATAGACATAATTGATAAAATGTTGATATCTAACTGATAGAAGGCATGCCAATTTTTATGTATAAACTGTTGTGTAGTTTTATGTACTACATATCTTATTTATCATTATTAATACTATAGTAGTAGATGTTTAACAGACAATATGGACATGGTTATAATTTCTATTCTCGTTATTATTTATTTATTATTGTTTTAGCTGTTTGACACAGTAAGTAGCACATATACTTATCTCTTGGGTGATGTGAAAACATGTGAAGCGGTGCTAATTGATCCAGTGTTAGAACATGCTGAAAGAGATGCCACATTAGTAAAGGAGTTAGGATTCAAGTTGATTTATGCAAGTAAGTAATTATTGGTTAGTTATAATATAACTAAGCACTGAAATAGACATATTAACTTTTTTATTAAGTGAGAAATAACATTATGTGATAACTATATATAAGATAAGTGTATATTTATGAATGTTGTAATCCATGATAAAATATTATTTATAAAATATAGTTACAATTCTTTTAGTTTTGCTAAATAATTTGCAGATCACCACCATAATGAAATCACAGAAGTGACTTGTAGGCACAAGTCATATTAATTTGTGAAATTCTGTCAATATCATCTTAATGCAGTGTCAATTACTGGTAGTTTCAGGCTGTAATGTTTCTTAAAAATATATTTTCACATTTCCAGTGAACACCCACATGCATGCAGATCATGTGACAGGCACAGGAAAACTCAAATCACTCTTGCCAGGTACAAAGAGTGTCATTGGAAAGGCATCTGGTGCCCAAGCAGATATCCATCTCCATGATGGAGACCTGGTAAAGTTTGGTGAATACCAGCTGTTAGCTGCCGCAACGCCAGGCCACACAAATGGCTGTTTGACTTACATTTGTCATCAGCAGGTAAACTGATGTTTTTTTTCATTTTAGGTGTTGAGCATATTCTTGGCACACATCATTTTGTCTTAATCGATTTTTTGTGCATGCAATTACACAGGTAATAACTATGCCGCATGCATAAACCAGCTACATATTTATTATTAATGTGACCTTGTTAACAGATTTATTAGGATTCTACAAGTATTTGTTTAATAGATATATTTGAATTTTATATTATGTTTTTATACTGTTAAGAATCTTTAGATGAAATGTTAAAATTTGTAAAAAAGTGGACACTCAGACCCCTCAACCTACTACGAAAATCTCAATGTATTACGTACTTTGGTTATTCGCATTTTAAGCAATGCCTGGCGCCGTTTATTAATTTTAAATAAAATATTTTTTTTCTTTTATTTAGTGGTTTAGCGTCTGGGTGCGACTCCGGAATACGCGGGTTCAATTACCGCGGCGGCGAAAAGCTTTCTGTCCATTTTTATTCAAATTTTAAGATATATGTTATACATGCTATTTTAGCAGTAGCTATTGACTCTACTAAACAAAAGATAAATTTCGAGAATATAGTAAGGAGTCATAGAGTGAGGAACATTGGTCATTTATAAACGACAAAGGTGGTGGTAGTTCTAATATAAAATGCATAGTTAGAGCACAATAAATATTTATTTTGTTGAAAGTGTAAGTGTTTACAAATTCAGGAAAAATCTAATTTTTATCTCCAATATTAAGCAAGAAAACAACAAGATATGAGTATATTAATTTATTTACAGAGCAATTTGCTGCAGTGTAATTTTTCGAAACATTGATAAGACAACAATTAAATGTTTGACGACATTGCACAATAATTTGGTTGGTTGATTTGATAAGTTATTAAATACACTTGGTAACAGTGTATTAACATCAGATTATTTGGAATATTCTACATACTAATAATAAACTCCGGCTTGTCGCCGATATTGTGTGTTAAGTACATTTGTATCAGATAACCACAATCACAGGAAATGCTCATTTGGGAACTTTTCACATAAAAAAATTATTAAGTCTGCCTTTTTATGAAGAAAAAACAAGTACACAACAAGTCATTAATTTTTTGTTTAGAATTTTCAAGTGCTTAACTTATCTACTATCTTATTTCCTCCCTATTTAAGTTTAAGTTTCCCTATTTTTAAATTAAATTTAAACTAACTAAAACATCAACCTTAAAAATGTGATTGTTTAAAAAACCAATAGTTTTGAACATTTATTTCAGGCTATGGCTTTCACTGGCGATACTTTACTCATACGCGGCTGCGGCAGAACCGACTTCCAAGAAGGCTCCTCTGAGAAGCTGTACCAGTCGGTGCACACCAGGATCTTCACTCTACCGGATCACTACACGCTGTTCCCAGCGCACGACTACAGGGGTCAGACAGCTACAACCGTTGGCGAGGAGAAGGAATACAATCCGAGATTGACCAAGTCTCTGAAGGAGTTTGTTCATATAATGGACACATTAAATCTGCCTTACCCAAAGATGATCGGTGAGTAGTTCTGATTGGTTTTAGACCCTGTATTCAAGCTATACTTGGGCCCAGATGGATGCAACTAGTACTTGTTTCCTACATGTCATAGACTTTACAGTCCCTAATGTAACATATATTAGCTTTATCTATACTTACTTGATATAATTCTGATATAAATCTGCCTTACCCAAAGATGATCGGTGAGTAGTTCTGATTAGTTTTAGACCCTGTATTCAAGCTATACTTGGGCCCAGATGGATGCAACTAGTACTTGTTTCCTACATGTCATAGACTTTACAGTCCCTAATGTAACATATATTAGCTTTATCTATACTTACTTGATATAATTGTAAGACAGTGATTTTCACATGCAACATATCCAAAGAGCAACTCCTTGATGCAGGTCTCAGGATTCTAATAAGCCACGAATAAGAGTCATGCATTTTGTTCCAATCATGTGTAAATTACTGCTGTATGCTACAAATATTCAAGACAAATGCTTTCGAAATTGTAGCGTGAATTGGTGCTCTGTCAATGAATCGATTTTTTTAATTTATCGCTATTTTCGCTTTTCTGTTACTTTCTTTCCCCTTTGTTTGTATGCCTATGCATTCATGTGGTGGTGGGTCAGCCTTCTTATTTCTCTTCCTCGACATAAATTGTCGTTTGATTTTATAAATAATTAGCCTTATTAATAAAACCAATAAAATAAATAAAAAATACTGGTAAAAACTTTTTAGCTTTGCCGGTATTTTTCGTCGCAGTTAACACCATTTACTAATCGTTAACTTAGCCTCGCTGCTGCTATTCAGTGTTGGCGATTGCATTTCATATTCCATGAATTTTGTACCATTGTTCCAAGATTCTTATATTATTAATATACTTAGATCATATATCCTTCAATGGGGTTCGGACTGTTGTCTCTTTGTTGTGCACAATGCGTTGTATGCCATTAATTGTATCTTGGCAACACTCAGCAGTATCTGGTGTTTCCACTATGTAAGTGCTTTTTGTAGCTCAGCATTGTTCTTACTGCTAATAGTTATATAGTTTACAAGCATCCACCTTGTAGTAATTTATGTTACTTTGGTAAATGAGGTCAAAACTAGAAAATAAATGGAGTGCATGGAGGAGAGATTATCCGCCATATTGTTAATGTGATAATGTGCCTCTCAATCGTTGTGATAGTGAATTATTGTTGATATTGCAAATACTTTCTTTTGGTATATAAATAATTGTAATAAGTTGCATAATAATTGTTACTAGTATTACTTCGCTGGGTATGGGTCAGTAAGGCATCGAAGTATTACGAAGCGTGAAGGTGAGCACTAAAAATCAGTTCTGTGTTGGGGCCTTGACTTCCGGCACAGCATAATGCTGAGCTGCTGACCTAATTTACCGGAATAGGGCGTACAATATTTTTTTGTTTGTTAAAGTTATTTTTCATTATTTTAATTATGTTTTTATGTTATTTTGTTTTATTGTATTATTTATAAGTATTTTTTGCTATTTTTTTTTCTCTTTAGTTGAGTGCGTCCTTTTTTTGGTAAATACATGTATTTTCTTTCAGTACAATAATGGGCTCAAAACTGATCCTTGGGGAACGCCACCCAATCGTCGGTATTGGTTTAGTATCATCCACTACTGTTAACGGCAGCTCCATTAATAATAACGATGTTGTTAATATATACTTTGGGGATGTTCTTCTGAAAGCCCCATCAAATGTGTCTTGAGACTGAATACATGCCTGTTCCTTTTCAACAACGCGACATGCAAGTGTTGGTTTTTAGAACGGTTTCCTTGAGCGACCGTGTTGATAAAACGGTATTGGTTATCGGAAGATGGTTATAAAGTTTACTAGTGTGGTTCAGAAGCTTGCTTTCGATAGTTATCATATTCTTCCCTGCTGCATTTCGGAAGTATGGTGTTTAATCTATCTCGGAAGTATGCTGTTTAATCTGCCCATGTAATTTTTGAAAAGAGGATCTCGAAAGTTGTAAACGTTCGCAACAGCACGTAAAGTTTGTCTTTGTGCCTTTGATGGTTTTTGATGAGGTATTGTAGTATCCTTTGTGCCCTGGCAATGTATTCACTCAACCTTATTGATGTATTTTTAACACACTCTTGTATTCAGTTTCCCGTAAGGCTTTCCTGGGAGCCTTTTTCTTCATTTCTTGCAGCAATTTGCTGACATTAAACTTTTTATGGATTTTGTGAGTTAAATCCAAAAGTTGAGTCTCATTTGCAATATTTAGTTTGTCAGTACTTATTAAAACTATTTAGTATGTTTGTATATGTATATAAGCTCGCCGTGCCTTCAATTTCCACACGGGACGAGTAAATGTGTGACCCACAGATAATTATTATGGCTCCGGGTGTTTATTTCACAAGTTTCAAACAACCAAAACCACATGATTCACATGTTGTACGTGGTTTCGGTTATATCCTAGGTGGGATGAGGGCAGGATTGTGATGATGATGATGTTATGGTTTCCTCATCCTCAAAGCTTAATTTTAATTAATATAGTAATTTCAACTAAAATTTAAGTTTTATGTAAAGAGATATTTATTAATTTATCATAATTATAGTTGTTTTGATCTAATAAGACAATTCTATTCTTTTCAGACAAAGCTTTACCAGCAAATAGAGTGTGTGGACTATATTAATTGTTGGACAACGAAAAGTATGCTATTATTATCTATTATACGATAATTAAAAAAAAATAATGAATTAGTGGTTATAATTAAATATTCAATAATAAATTTATGAATTAATTACAATAAAATTGCTCAATTATATCTGTGATTGTGATTTTAAAATTTTTTGGAGTTAGTTGTGTAAGAATAAATGATTTGTTTTTTATTGTAATTTTTTCATTATTGTTATATTTTATTTTTAAGTAATAAAATTTATTAAAATTAAGAAATATGTTTTGTTATTGTAATAAATTGTTGTGTTTGTTCATTATAAGTTTATAACAAGGTATGAAATGAGACAAGGAATGAGGCCTACTACAGGAAATATGAATGTTAGAGACTTTTTTTAAATTATTTAATTTGATATTCATATAAACAATTTTTATAGGTTGCACGAAAATTTATCTTCTGAAATTTTCTTGTAAGAATTTTTTTTTATTTTCACTATCGACCCAAGTTTTTCGGGTGTTCGGCTCCATGGGTCATATATTGAGGTACAAAATTTTCAATGCATTTAACATTGCATTTTATATGGATAATTAGTGTTAAGTACTAAAATGTTATAATATACATAATATATTCCATCCCCTGCTCTGTAAGCTTTGGTAAGGGTATATATTTAACGGTGGCAGTGCCACGCAAGCAGCCTCGGCTGTTGCACGAATGGGCAGGCTCGTCCGTGTAAGTATCACGACCTCACAGAAGACCGGCGTAAAGTGGAAGTATAATACTTTCACGTTTCGTCTGGTGAGTGAGGTAGCCGGAGCCCAATTTTCAGAAGGTTGTCAACGCATCTGCATACCCTCGGGTGTAGCAGATGTCTATGGGCGGTGTTATTCACATAACATCAGCTGCACCATAGGCAACTTTGTACATAAAAAAAAGAACAGATATATTGTGCCACAATGGCACGAAATGTGATTTGGGGTAAGAGCTTTTCTCTTTGTTCTCTCAGTGAGGTTTATTTGAAACAAACAGTATATATTTGTTCTAGATAAAATACTATTTGATTGATTGGATAGGATTGACATAATGACTAACTAATGCGGTTTCTACAAACTTTTTCTCTTCTATCTTAGTACAAGACTGCTACGAACCGTGCGGAGAGATATCATTCGAATAGTGACCTCAATGTAGGTACTAGGAGCCAACATTATAAAAACATTATCGGATGGAATTTCTTTTACATTATGTCGCATTTATTTTGGATTCCCGTTTTTCATTCTATAAACTTTAGTGTCAATTTAAGTAATCATTATTATGAAAACGTGTCAAAAACACCCCGAAAGTCGCTAGTTTATTGCGGTACTTTACTCCGGTATACGATACGTTTATACGTTCACATGAGCAGCTAGGACAATGTTGATCAAACTAGATATACGCATAATCCGCCCAAAACAATTGAAAATATATGAAGTGTGTTCTGTGATTCATTCTCTTCCGAGTAGAAAAATAAAGTAGATACGATTTTTGATTTTGGCGCCGTGGCGTTCATCAGCCGTTTAACAGAGAGTCTTAGCGAATTTTACCCGGAAAACACAAGATAGAATCTCGCAGGGGCGATATTTTTCTACAAAAAACAGCTGTTTAAGTATTTTGACAAATAACAGTATTTATTTCAGTATTAATTATATTCATATGAATTTGTATTAACAAGTGTTCGAGATGTCAATTAATAACTTTGTTACATATATTATGTAATAAAATTACAACAACTAAGTCAATAAGTACGTTTTGAGTATTCTGCAGGCAATAACCCTACAGATTCATTGAGATCAACGCTGCATCTAGTGGATAAAGTTCTTTTGCATTTATGATTTTATGCTAATTGCTAACATATGGGTTTGATTCAATGACATCTACTAGAAAAGGTTATAACAACGTTTCCCAGGCCAGCTATTTCTAAATATTTTGATGGAAAATGGATTGCAGCAAGAAATATTCTTATAATTGATCGAATGTCTAATGTCATTGAACGTTTTCGTTTATTCTTAAACGTTTACGATTACGAAAAACCATAATAAACCAGGAGATGAAAGAAAGTCTTATTATGGTACTACACCTAGCGTGTAACATTAATTTGATTTCGTAATTTGGAACGTCATGGTGGGAATGTTTCCGAATTCAACCGCTGGATATAATATTTACAAGTGTATTCCAGTCGGGTTTTCGTTTAGGTCACAGCACCACTATTGCTTTAATTAAAGTAAACGATGACATACGTCAAAGTATGGAAGATAAAAAGGTAACAGTTTTGGTGTTAGTTGACTTTTCAAATGCTTTTAACACAGTGGACCACGACATCCTTCTCTCTATCCTTTCCCATTTAAAGTTTGGACCTACAGCCATTGAGTGGTTCTCATCATATCTTCGCGGCCGTCAGCAGTCAGTCCATGTAGGACACCAGTCCTCTGGTTGGACTGATCTGACTGCTGGGGTGCCGCAAGGCGGCATTCTCTCCTCTTATATTTTCTCTTTTTATTAATTCAGTAACTGATATCATTAATTGCTCTTATCATCTGTATGCTGATGACCTCCAACTTTACGTACAAACAGACACTGACAACATCTACCATTCGTTTTTTTTTTAATTTTAACAAAGTAACACATACGCATGGGCTAACAATCAATCCTTTAAAATGCCAAGCTATTATTCTTGGCAGTCAAAAATGTTGGCTAAATTGGACAAAAATATCCCTGATCTTTACTACAGCGATACATTAATACTTTTTGACGGCTCGGTGAAAAATGTCGGCCTTTACATGGATAATTCTCTGAGCTAGAATGTCCACATCAAGGAGATCAGTCGCAAGGTCATTCCCACTTTACGTTTTCTGTATAGTTTAAAACATTTTCTTCCTTTCAAAACAAAACTTATTCTGGTTAATTCCCTTATTTTACCCATTTTGGATTATGCAGATGTCTGTTGCTCGGATAAGCTGTGGAGCGTCTCTATAATAACTGTATTGGGTACATTTTCGGTTTACGTAAATCACATATATTAATATCGTTCCCAGCTTAAATGGCTTACTATTCGTCAAAGACGTAGTTCTAGAATTCTTTTACCCTCTTCTCTATTCTTAATGACCCTGCTTCGCCTAACTACTTAAAGAAAAAAATTTCAATATCTCTCATTAACTCACGATAAAGCACTTCGTTCTTTAGGTAGTAGAATCTGTCGCAGATGCGTATCTTATGATAAAGTGGGCTCTGGCTACTACGCCAGTCTTCTGTGAGGTCGTGGTAGTAAATATTGTATTCTATATGTTGAATTGTAATCTATAACAGATTTTTTTCTTCATATAAATTATAAGTGTAGTGTTAAATATAATCTTTACACGTTCTAGATAATACGAAACTAATTATTGACAGTTATTATGAAAAATTATAGTGGAGATGAAAAGGAAACAAAACGTTTATTTTTGTTAGATTTTTCACTCATCCATGATATCCTTCTTCCATGTGACGCAATGGAGGCGTTGTTTGTTATGAAACAATGGACACCCGTATTGGTTTGTTGTGATTGGAAATTATTTTCAGGAAATGCCAATTACATATCTGGAATCTATAACACATTTAAATCCCTAGTCAATTCTATGTCGATGTTACAAAATGTTTATTGTTTTAAATTAATATGTAATTAAAATTTACATTGCTTCTATTTGTTCTACAGATCCTATTTAACTTTCAGAAGTTATGCTATATTTGACATAGTTTTATTTGAGGTTAGTGTATGTACATAAATGATGGGTGTTCTCGTAAATATTTGATGAAAGGGAACTTCAAAGGCTGCTTTCCCCTTTGGAAATTTAATTTGTCTGCCTATTTGATAGGGTCTGGAGTTCCATTAAAGTCCCATAACATTAAACGTTAGCAAAATGAAATTCGGCTCATCGGTATTTATCATAACTTTAGGTAAACAAAAATTTTGATTTAAACTTTTATTATTGGAATTAAAATAAAACTAAACACGAGCTGATTAATTTCCTTTATAAAATTATTTATTTTTGCTGCTTAACGAAAAGATCCTTTAGATATTTTTTTGCACCCTATCAAACCTCGTTTCGAGTTTAGGTAGATGTCGGCGATTGAAAAAATTCTAGTTTCAAAATTGGTCATTGTTCGAATTTTCAATGTTAAATAAAACGTACTATGTTAAAAAACTACTAAAGCTAAGATAATGCTAATTAATATAATAAAAGATTTAACCTAACATCGAAAAAAAGATGTTTTGTAAGGGGTCCTGACCTCTATGACCACGTCCAGCGTTAGACGTAGTTAATATCGAGTGAGCCGTATTCTAAGGTTAGTTGTTTGTCGTTTCGTCGATTGCCACGCAGTGCCGGCGCCCTCTGGGAGCTATCCGTTCATTGACGAAGGGCGCAGGGAGACTCCACGGTCGCCCTATTACCAGGGTGTCGTTGAAACACAAAGGGGAATTATTAATGGCCGCCACTCGTACTCGTAGGTGCGGTTAACATTCGGGGGAGCGGACCGCGCGGTTCGGCGTGTTTGCCTTTGTTCGAAGGTCATTGCTGAAAATCGCCAGGAAGGTCCTATCGGCCGATCTAAACGGCCTTATCGAATGCTGTGCGAAATGTGGGATGTAATCTTGTTGTTGAAGCAACCACGTAGAAATTCTTTTGGCCAAGTTTTTCGTACGTACGTACGTGTTATAATATGATAGTTTTTGAGTATTGCAGAAATACTTTAGATCAATGTCAATATTTTATAGAATAAAGTCACTACTAGTTGCAAAAGAAGACATAAAGATGAAAGAAAAAGTAAAGAGTTTAGTTAACACTTTATATCTTTTGCTTACGATATTAATTGTCGGGGATAGATTATGAAAGGTCACTTACCTTCTTTCACAAATAATTATTAATCAATGAATTAATATAATTGAGGTTAACGTGAAAAGTAGATATATTATTGTCTCACTCTTATAAACATTTAAGTGATACATA